TATGCTTCCTAAAAATATGAACTGAAACAGCTGCAGATGCTGGTGCCTCCTTTTTCCATAGATATCGGTATGGTGAAGTAAGGCTTCCTAATCCATTAGGAAAACACTCTTTTCTTTTTTTTCTCCCAACGGCATGTTTTATAATAAAAATATTAGGTTGTGAAATTCCAACAAAGATGTAAAGAACAAATTTGTTGATTAGCCTCCCCCAATTCCTAAAAGAAGCTGACTGTAAAAGCTGTCATAGTTTATGTAGTAGAAATGAACAGTTCATTTCAGGGCATAAAAAGGCAGCCTTCTGGTGAGGTTAGAAACTTCAGTTTAATTTTAATTTTTATCCTGATTCCTTTCCCTTAAAAGAAAGGAGGGGGAGATAATAATTGCTACTGCTCTGAGAACCAGCAGAAGCTTTATTTTTAGTTGTAAGATCAACTGAGGTTTACTTTTGCTAGTTCTGTTCAATAGGCTGGTGATACTAGGTTAGAGGTATAGACATTCTTGGTATAGACATTCTTAGTAATTAGTCTTTATAAAGCTTTGACAGGCCAGTTTGAATATTTTGAACTTGAGCAGGCAGCTTCACAGTTAACACAACTGTGATCTGTTTTGCATTACTATTTTAGTGTTTTACGTGTTAGACATCAAGTTCAGTCTGAAGAAAACCAAATTAAAGATATTTTGGGTACCTGCTCCTGTTTACTGCTCTTAAATGAGAGGCACTTTAGTTTGAGATCAACACCATTTCTTTGTTTGCATGTTATTTATGGATGGTTTGCTAGGAAAATCACAGTTCGGTTGATTTGTGTTTATGAGTGTTTTTCTGGCACACAACATTATCTTCATTCAAAGTGGTTAACCCTGGTGTGACCCATTTCCTAAACCCCACTATACTGCTAGTAGTGGGGCATCTTTGAAAAACGTAATTGATTTATAAATAAACTGAAATGCACAATTAAGATTAAATGCTATTATGTGCAATAAGAGGTTCAGGCTTAGAAAACATGCAAGGTCTTAATGGGGATGGGTTGGGATGGGTTAGTGCCGGCCTGCTGCCCTTTTCTTCTACCCACAATTTTCTTCCTTAAGATATTTCAGTGTTTTGGTTTTTTCATTATTTACACCCCCCCCCGCCATGTTTTTCTCCTCTAGACTGTGACTATGTTACATGTACAACAAGCAGGGGAAATATTTGTAAGGCAATTACATGATTTTAAGCTTTCTGGTGGAAAGATGGTAGTTGACATTATGGCAAGAAACATGTAAAAATTATGTCAGAAGTTTACTTTGATCCCTTTAATTTTTTTATTTTCCTTTTGGCAACAACAATTTTACTTTTAATACCCACTTCAGTACAGTGTGCACTTTTTTATCATTGTTAGGAATTCAGTTCCTCTGATAATAAGCCCCGAAATGGGAATTTAATACTTCTGCTGTGATTCATTCCATTGGCTTTTTTGGTCTTTGCCATAGACTTCAAGATTTTCCTCATTTGTAATTTATTCTTGAAAAACTCATAAGTCTATTTCAGAAGTTACCTTTTCTGTACCCTTTCATATCCAAAATAAGGAGGAATTTTAAATGTTGCTTCTTTGAGGTTATGGTATTCAGTCTTGAGCTACCGTGGAGGAAGACTCCCCTAAATTGTAGAATAAGTGGCTATTTAATCGCTTTTTAGATGGCTGCTCAATTCTGACATATTAACTGTTGTTATTTCCATCCTTTACCATTTTTATCTTTTTAACTGTATAACAGAATTTCTGGGGTTTGTAGGGCCTGATTTAAGAGCACAGTATCTCTCCAGTGCTTGTCGAGTGTTTGCCGATGAGTACCGTCGGCTGCACGTAGCGTTGGGTCGTGGCGTATACACCTCAATACCGAGCAATTACTTTGGAGTCGGTGGCCAATGTTCCAGGCTGGCACTTTTCATTCTTTCCGTTGCGCTTGAGCTACTTGTTAGGCTGACTGTGGAGTTTTTTATTGCACAAGTATTAAAAGGCTTAGCCGGAGTGGAGAGAGCAGGCAGCAGTTATTAGAGCCGCTTTCTAAATTATTTATGTAGCTAAAAAGTGAAATCTGATCTTGCTTTCCTGACCTGCCAGGAGGTAATAGCATTCGGTTTCTTTTTTTAACTGTGTGAAGAGGAAATAAAAGTTTAAATTATATTCTCTAGGTTATTCATTTACACAGAGGATGTTGTTAGTTACAACTAGAGTTGGTAGAAGAATAACATTTCTGTTGTGTTTCTAACAGGTCCTAACAGAAAGGAGGAGTTTAAGTGTGTGGACCATTAACCAAACCCCTAAAATCTAGTGGGAATATATATTTTGATTTACATGCGCTGATCTGCTTCACAAGTTCTTTGATAATTAGTGTTATTGAAGAACTTCATTTCGTTAAAAAATCGGTAGTTCTTCAGGCAGCAGTGTGGAAACCTTCTTAGTTCTGGTTTGCACTAACCGTGTCCAGTCGCTATTTTGATGTCAGCTCCAGTCTTGAAATAATCCACAGTTGTTCCCTTTTCTCTCACAAATGCTCAAAAGGCATATTACGCTTCGGAAATCGCAGCTTATAGCATTTTCTAATTGCTTTCAAAGCCGGTGAGTTATGGGAGCATATTAACCAACCGGCGCTTAAAAGCTGGTGATCTCTTGCATAAAAATATTAGCCTAAATAGTTTTATATGTATGCTTTTCAGCACATCCAGTTTTATGGCTGATTTTAGACCCTGTGGTAAACAAGCATGCTAATGGAGCTGTTGGAAGCCCCTTTAAAAAGGAATCGCAGTAATGTATATGCTGTGGGTGACATTCAGCTTTGATTAAATGCTGTAATAAAGCCTGCATCTGTGTTGTTATTTTCAAAAGGGAATTCGGAAGGGAACACTGAATACAACTCTGCTTTTAGTTTATCTTTTGATCTTTTTCCATCTCAACATGTGTCTCCAATGTTTCGCGATGGAGCATTTGGGATTTTTAACTAGGGCTCATTTAAGAAATTTGCTGCCAGTGACAAGACAGGAGGCAGAACGTACAGAAGTGCAGATCGTAGCCAGCATGGCTCTTACCAGCACCAGCTTTCCCTCTCCCTCTCGCTCCTGCCTTCTCCTGACACCATCCCTGGCCTGTTTGGCTGTAGCACAGCTGGTCTGGGACAAGGATAGAAGTTCTGGTAAGGTACACATTTATCGTCACCTTTTCTTTCCTCTCTTCTTCTCTCCATCCTTTCTCTGTGCTGTGCGTTTCACTCCTAGACACGCTGTATTTTTGTAAAGAGATGTTTGCAACACCCATTCTTGCTGGTAAAAAGTTGCTGCCTTTCCTGGACTTTGCAGAGTGGATGAAAATGGGTTGATGGTGCAAAATAGTAAATGCAGGACGTGATCTTGTGCTCTGGAGTGAGCACTGTTTCAGCAGGTTTCATGGGGGAGAGCAAGTAGGTGTGTGTGGAGGAGGTGGGGAAAGCCAGCATGCACAGCTCAGCGTTGTGTTATTGCCACAGGACCTCGGGTCTCTTCTCAGTGAGTTGAATTTTCCCCTCCTCGGGGCAGTTTTGCAGGTTTTGTCAATATTCCTTCTGTTAAGAATAACAAGCATTTCTGCCAGGAAAATCTCAAGTATACGCAAGAAAGTTGTGATCATTGTACATTGTGGAATCTGAAAAAGACCTTGAAAGCTTGTCCTTTTCCTTTCTCTTGCTTTCTTTTAAATGAACAGATGAGATCAAAGATCCCTGTCTCCCTTGTCCTCTTTCTCAAAACCTGTCCCCCCCTCATCCTCAGATTCACCGCTCTGCTACATCTGGATTGTAAATGGCGTGTGCTTCTAATAAGAGTCAATGAGAATCACCCAGACCTGCAGGGAGCAGAGTTTCTGACTTGATTAAATGTTATCAGATCTGTATGGATGCTGAAACATTAACCATTGCAGTGCTGAATTCTTTAGATGCTAGTCCTGAATTTTGCCTTTTCCTATGAATTTTGGGGACAAGCAACACACTGCTAGAAACAGTTACTGCCTTTCTAGTTTAGCTGAGGTTAAAAGCCTTTTCAACTGGGATTTTAGGTAGGACAAAGATACGAGGTTTGCTTGAAGTTCCTTCCTTGCAGAGCTTTTGAAGTAGATGCCGTAAGGCTGCCCTTTAACACTCGACTGTTTGCTTTTTGTCGTGAGTGGAGGTGGGGAAGCCAATACAGTAAACTTAGTTTGGGTCTTTCTGCTCTGCAAATAAAAATTCAGAAGGGGAATTAGACAAAATATTACATTTTGGACAAAAGTTAATGATTCGGTACATTTTCTCTGCATGTGTAAGGTCCTCTCTCTGTTTACAGACTCTAGCAAAAGTTCTCTAGATCCTGCAAGAATCAAGTAAAGAAAGGAGTCTTCCAGCCTCCACCCTTAATGCAGTTGTTAGGTGTTACTGACCACAGGATTCTTGATGCAGAAGCCTAAAGTGATGTAGGCTACTTTTGGGATACCATGGTGAAGGTAGAGGCATTTGGGGCTAGGGATGGGGTAAAGGGGGATCTTTACGGCTTCAGCCTCAGTTTTGAAAGTATACGCAAGGATGCACGAAGTTTGATCTGTGGGCTGCGTTACAACTCCATCCGCACTGTAATTTAATGAATTCAAATATTACTGGAATTAAAGTGCAGCGGTGTATATCCTGCCAAGGAGTGTGGGGAAAGAAAAGAACTGGTTTTATTGCTTATCAGGGTTATTTGGCTGTGCTAGAAGTTGTCCTCATTTCTTAAAATCTATTCCTAGCTGGCAGTTTCAGGTGCTGAGGAGGTAAAGTCAAGCATGTTTTGATATGTGTTTTATTTAAAGCATACTGAGTCTGTGTTCAATGAACAGTACAGAGTCGTATAATTGAATCTCATTTTAGTATATGATTCCATTTTTTTGTTGTCAAACTCTTACCTTATGTGACCTACCAACCCCCATGCTGTAACACACACAGCCCAGTCACTCGGTTGTAATATTCTTTGTTTTCAGGTGAACAATCAGAATAATGTTCAACATAAACCTGTTGGAGAACCTGAAGGTTTACATCAGCAGTCGACCTCCGCTTGTGGTCTTTATGATCAGTGTAAGTGCTATGGCAATAGCTTTTCTGACACTGGGTTATTTCTTCAAAATCAAGGAGATCAAGTCACCGGAAATGACAGAGGTAGGTACAAAAAGTTCCTGAGCCAAACAGTAGGAATACTAATTTGAAACACATACCCAAAGCTAATGAGTTGGTTTTCTTCCCCCCCAAGAACCCTCTCATGGGAGTAGGCAGAGTCTTACGGGAGATTGTCGTCTTTTATATGTGCTTCTAAATTTCATAAGGAAAGAGGCTATTAATATGAATGTTTGAATAGTCTTGGTTTGTTTCAAGAGTGAGGCCAAATCATGATATGGATCTTCCCTACTATGGCTAGTTACTTTTTGTTACTCTGTTCTGCCAGCTAGCTTGTTTGTGAAACTTCTGATCTCCTCTAGTAGCACTGTTCTGTACTGAGGGAAACCTTGCTAGAAACCACTCATGCCCTGAGCATGGTGAGAACAGACCAAGTTAGTATATTCCTTTTGTAGTTTAAAGAAGGATATTCTGCTGCCACGCTGAGCCGCTGTCAGGCGGTGGCTGGGATTGAACACGTCTAACTTCTGTAAACAACTTGCCTCGTTGTTGAGATAGCCATGGTGGTATTTGTGCTTGCTTTGTGAGCCATGTAATTTTTGTTAAATGGCTTGGGACTGCGGGCGGGATGGTACATATCAAGGCCTGCGCTGCTCTAGAGAAGTGGCAGCCAACAGTTGACTTGCTAATCTGGTTGAAATCTTCACGTTTGTTTTAAGGACTGGAATACTTTCCTCCTGAGGTTTAATGATTTGGACTTCTGTATATCTGAGAATGAAACCTTAAAGCATCTTGTCAATGATACCACAACTCCAGAAAGTACCGTGACTAGTGGACAGGCGAGATCTTCTACACAGTCTCCACAGACTCTTGAGGACTCTGGTCCAATAAACATCTCTGTTACAATCACATTGACGCTGGACCCACTCAGACCATTTGGCGGATATTCTCGCAATGTCACACATCTAAGTTCCACAATTTTTGGACACCAAATTGGGCTCTCAGGTATGCACGAATTGACCTTTATAAATTTGAATGATGACTATATAGTCAAATAAAAATTTACCAGCTTGTTATTGGTGAGATAAATCTTTTGCTTAGAACATACATATGTTTCCAGATTTGCTGCGAGTATATTCGTGTATAGAGCCCTTCACTTGTTTGCTAGAAAAACTTTTCCTTGCATTCAGAATGGAAAAGAACCTGCAGGTTTGCCAAGATTAGTCTTTGCAGTTTTAAATGATTAACCTAATGACAATGGAAGGTCATTTCTAAGCCAACAAAATTCCAAGCAGCAAAAGCTTTTACAGTGACTGTCTTCAGTTCTATCTTGATACATCTTCAAGTCCTTAACTCACATTTTAAAGGCATTAATGTATATACATTAGAGATCAAGTAGCATCTTGTCTAAAAAAGTAGTTTCTTTAAAATGAATAAACATGGATAAGCTTTAATATTGCAAACAGTAACAAATGAGATGGTTACAATTTCTGTGGTGTGAAGAGATTGATCTGCTATGTGGCTGCCCTGCCAGTAAGTTTTGACAAGAGACTGTAGAAAATCAGTAGAAATTGATAATAGAACCGCATTGAATTTTAGCTTTTAGCCAGGGTTGCATTTTATAGTAATGCCTGAAGATGTCTTGAACAGAGACCTGTGAAGAGACATTTGCCATAGCTGTAAATCTGTATTACTGTATTTTATGTTGTTGTTCTTTTGTTACTGCTTTAAGAGCTATCAAATGCAAGTTCCATTTCTAGTAGCCTGGATTTGTTTTCAATATGAATATATCCACGTGGAATTAACATACACTACTTAGTCTGCAGTTCAGTAACTGCTGGCACCTTTTTGCCTACATGACTATCTCAAATTTGAAAAGTAAGCATCATAAGAAGCAAATGTGCAACAAAGTTTTTGGGAGGAGAAAGGCTAAAGATCTGTGATTTTACTTTCTCATAAAGTTCTTTGAACATGCATGAATTCACTTATAGTGAATTTTGCATTTCTGAAAGGAGCCTAAGGATCCCACTTCTTCTCAGGGCAGGGGAGATGAGAAAGACCAGCAGTTGGGGTTTTGTAGTTTGGTTTGTTTTGGTTTTTAACTTTCTTTTTGCTCTCTTTGTTGATAGTAAGGATCCTGGATGACTTCAAAGGTACAGATTCAGGGTGGTAGTTGCTGCCTTAGTCATTTGCGTGTTGTCCATATCCTAGTGATTGTTGCTCAGATACTTCTGTGAATGAAAACCAGCTTTCCTTCTCTCTCTCAAAGGCAGAGAATCCCACGAGGAAATAAATATTACATTCACCCTGCCGGCTGCCTGGAATTCAGATGACTGCGTTCTTCATGGCCACTGCGAGCAGGTTGTGTTCACAACCTGCATGACTGTGACAGCAGCCAGCAATGTATTTCCTGTCACAGTGTAAGTGCGTTTTAAACACTCCTTCACAGACTGGTTACTGGGTGATTAATTCCTCAGCTGGTTCTCTGAGGTTGTTGCTTCTTGATGAACATTAATGTTGACTCTGGAAATTATGTACCTGCCCTCCTTCACCCACGGTAAAAAAACTCATCTTGAGACTTTTGCTGTCTTTTAGCAACACTAGATTTTTCTGTGGATAATTTGAGCTATAGCCCCTACCTGCCTTTCAGTGTGTTACCTGTGATTTAAACTTCACTGGGAAGAAAAGAATCCATGAATATTTAAGAAAGATACCCTGTAATTTAGTTTCGCTACCTTGTGTGAGAGCTAAGGCTTGGCACTAAGGTTCTTATCCTCTTCCCTGCCGAGAGATCAGTATAAGCCAAATGCTGCTAGGCTACCGTACCCCAGCAGGTACAGACCTTTCATCAAAATGGTTTCCCTTTGTCTTCTCTAGACTCCTGTCACTATTCAGTACACCCTGGAGAACCACCAGATAGATTCACGTGACTCTGTGAAGCCTTATGAAAACCAGTGTTTTTCTAGTTAAGTTGTGGGCTGTTGACTTACTGGAACAACATGCAGTTAAATTCTAATCTTAGTATAGGAATTGTTTTCCTATATATATGTCTTTTGGTGAAGCTTTGGTTTTTGTTGTTGTTTTGGAAGATCCAAACTAAAACTGTGGTTTATGCTGCTGTTGAAAAGACTGGGCTTGACTCTGGTCTAAAAGTTAGCCTTTCTGAACATGGAGAATGGCAACTGGGGTGCTAATTATTTCTCTTTTTCTGCAGTCAGCCACCACATTGTGTTCCTGAAACATACAGCAATGCTACACTTTGGTACAAGATCTTTACCACAGCAAGGGACTCTAATACAAAATATGCACAAGATTATAACCCTTTCTGGTGTTACAAAGGAGCAATCGGAAAAGTGTATCATGCTTTAAATCCCAAACTAACTGTGATAGTTCCAGATGTAAGTGCCACGGTGTTTTTCTATGTTATGTTGAATAAATGCTTAGCTTGGTTTAATTGAATATCGTTCTGTTCATGTCCTAAAATAGTCATATTCAGTGCTGGTTTATTATGTAGTGCCAGGGCTGAGACAGGGTCGGGTATGGTTTAGCCCTGGTGGGCGTGATGGTCTTCATGTAATCTCTGTGTGCCTCACAGCTTTTAATAACTACCATTTATATTTTGAAATCATTTGACAAAAGGCACGGCCGGTATATAGTTAGAGGTCTCTAGTACAGATTTCTAATGTGAGGAACATTTTGGCTCTTTGTGCCACAATTAGGAATCGCTTTCATTACTATGCCAGCTGCGTAAAGGGGAGAAAGTTGATACATGAAGTAATTTCTGTGCTGATCTGATAATTATTGCTTTAATATAAAAGGCCAGCTATTGGTGCACTGTCAGTAAATGGTTTTAATTCTCTGTGCAGGATGATCGCTCTCTAATAAACCTGCATCTCATGCATACCAGTTACTTTCTTTTTGTGATGGTGATTACAATGTTCTGCTATGCAGTTATTAAAGGCAGACCAAGCAAACTGAGGCAAAGCAATACAGAATTCTGCTCTGAAAAGGTGAGTCTGCGTAATAACAAAATATTGACTCTGATAAGAAAACATTAAAATCCTCCTCTTTTACATAGTACAGACTGTTTTTTCTTATCTCTGGAGATGTAGATTTAATTCCCTTTCAAAGAGATGTGGGTGTTTCATTGTGGGCAGTACAGACAGGTGCTACAGAATACAAATACGGGCTTTGTGGATCCCCAGAGTTAGATTTCTCTCCTACAGAAGTGGATTATTGCAGTTCAGTAAGTGCTGTAATGCAGCTCTTCTGCCATAATTCTGATATTGCTTGCGCTGTTTTGTATGAAGCATTGAATAGATGGCATTGAGTAGTTTTATTTATCTTTTATTACAACAGACTGAAAACCTTGAATAAAACATGATACGTAATTCTAATGGTTGTTAATCAGAATTAAATTAAAACAATGATGCAACAGTCATTATTCAGTACTGCATTGGAGACCTGCACTTTGCTTGAAGGATTAAATATGAATATATTTAACTGTGAAGTAGGAAGCTAATGTTGGCACCTTTTGAGCGTAATGATGTTTTGTAGTATAAGCTGTTTTGGGTTTGTTGGGGTTTTTTGAGTTGTTTTGGTTTGTTCTTTTTTAAATTGATTATGCTAAGTACGAAACACCTTCAGACTTACTTTGATTTCCTTTCCAAGTTAGCCTTTTCAAGGTTCTTTGAAAAGGCAAGGACAGATATGCCAGCTGCATGGAGATAAGTAATATCACTGTTACGGGATTAAGAATTTGACTTTAATTAAATGTTTTCTTTTTCTTTTGTTTAGGTTGCTTTGTCAGAAGCGTAATCCATCCTCTCCTTTTACTGAGAATGACTGAGAACCATAAT